GATACATCAAGTCTAAATTTTAGTTAGTGAAGGGTGCTAAAGCAGACACTCCCTCTCCCTCCATATTTAGATCTAAACTCTATTTCAACATCTCCCTGCAGGATTTTCAAAGTTATTCATTTAAAAAGACACATCAGCACAGACTTCAGTCAACTCCCCTTGCACTGAGAAAACACTGCATATTTTCAATTAGCATTGTCAGAAAGTGAAGTACCCTCTGGTCTTTTCACTGAAAATCAATTATGAAAAAAAAAACAACAGTTTAGGCAGTCTAATTTAGCTGTGCCATATGTATAGCACAAAGTGTTCAACAGCTTTGATGCAAAACTGGCAATGATTTTAGCCAGCTGTCCAGGGTCTTGATGTTACACAAGGAGGATGGCTATCTCATTCACTAAGTTTTCCATAATTTGTATATACCACCATTTTACCCTTGTATCATTAAGGACTTTTCTCCTGTCCTTCCCAACTGAGCAAGTTAAAATCCCTGCCACATCCCTTTTACATAAACCCCAATACTCTGCTAACTGCCACTCCACTGAAATAAATGCTTCCTTATATGGTTATATCAGCTGGCATGTTTTAATCTTGGCATTGTCTGAATATACTCGTCTTCTCGTTGAGGTGTGCAGGTCCTGAGATGCCCCAGCGCTGCACTATCCTCAAGGAACTGTGCTCTTCTACTTGTTTTTCCAAATCCATTTTGCTTTAAAACAGAACAAATCAGAGTTAGAAAATTCTAACTTTAGCCTTAATGCACAAGTGCACTACAATTTCATCACAGGACATATATACACATAAAACTGAAATAAGTTTAATCAAGCCATGTTTGCATTATAAGATACAAGGCACTCTGATCCTGATTTTATAGTCTATTGCACTTCATTAAAAAATAACACAGATCAGTCCATGAAACGGACTTCACAGCATACTAATGGGTCACAACCATGCCTGGAGGAAAAAAATAATCAATGGTGTAAACACTTTTGAATCCACATAAATAATCTGATTTTTAGTCAATTCTTTCCGTAAATAACTGAAGAAGTTCATGTAAGTTATTTCTCCTTAGAGCTTCAGTCCCTTAACACTGAAATAGGTCAGAGAAAGGTCAAGCATGCACTTAATGACTTACTGTGCCCATCGACACTTCATACCCATCTGATTCCCTCTCCTGGTCCTAAGGAGGATCCTGGTCCTTTTTAGCCTGGTGACACTGGGACAGAGCCCTTTAAAACATTCTTCCGCACAGACCAGCAAATCATCCATGTGTCAACTGGGACTTTAGTCCTTTTGAGCTTTTAATTTGCTACTGATGATCAGTTTCTCCGCTGTACTTTCTAATCTGTGGTCTCCTGGAGAGCTAAGGCTGCCAAGTTCATAATATGATGGAATCAACAGTAGCACAGGATGTACAGTTTACTATAGGATTATAATAACTGGACTTAAAAATTAAGATTCTGAAACCACCATCAACTTAATTTTCACACATTTAATTCTAGCAGAACTGTGCTAAAATAACCAGACTATTCTGAGGCAAAGTTAAACACCTTAAAATTCAACTAAGATAAGAATTTGATGAAATAAGACAATTGTTTTGTTTCAAAGCTTTTCTTCAAAACAGAAAGCAGAACACATCATTCTTACATCCAGGTTTTTTTTTTTAATCAGAAGATGCTTTTATGTTAAATAACGTGTTTGGAAAAAAAGGCCTATGAGATCTGACTGATTAATAAACTATCACCAAGCAAATATTATTCCGTTATTCACTTGTTTTCTACTCATAACTCTTGAGCCAAATGTTGCCTAGGTTGTAACAGAAGATGAACAGTTATATTCTAAGATTTTACTTGAAGAAGTAGACTTACATAAAAGAACTTCTAAAATGTCCAATGATTAACCTACGTTTGTGAACTTTCTCTCCTGAACTTTCTTCTCTATGACATTTAATCAGGAAGTACTATTCTAAATAATCAATTAGTTTAACCCATTAGGATGAAGTCATGATAAAAATGCGTGAAAAACTGTAGATAATAAAAGTTAACAGTAACTTATTCCTTAACAGTGTTACCTTAATAACGAATCTAAAAAGAAAAGATACAAACGAACTTACCTACACAACAGGAAGAGACATAGACTTAGAAAACCAACTTATGATTGCGGGGGCAAAGGGATAGTTAGGGAGTTTGGGAAGGTCATGTGCACACTGCTATATTCAAAATGGATAACTAACCTGTTGTTGAACTCTACTAATGTTATGTGTCAGCCTGGATAGGAAGTGGGTTTGGGGGACAAAGGATCCATGTATATGTATGGCGGAAACTACCACAAAGTGTTAATCCAATACAAAATAAAAAATACAATACAAAATAAAAGTGTATAATCCAACACAAAATAAAAAGTTTAAAGTTTGGGGAAAAAAATGATCCAACTGTTTGCACAGGGGGACAAATTGGCAAGATACATCCAATGAAAGCTAAGTGTAAAAGTACTGATGTGCACATCTGCATGTTAATCTGTATCATTATCTTGAAGGTTAACAGGGCTAACTCAGTCACAGTAGTAAATTAAGGACAAAAGGGAAGACCTTTGTGACTTTATATTCACTTCTGTGTTTTGTCTTTTACCATGAAAATGTAAAATTTTTCAATATTTTTAAAATAATCAAGTACATATTTTGTCAACTTCAATTGTTTCTTATAAAAAGGGGTGGGAAGTTAAGCTGCTCTCCTGCAAACATATCAGGGAAGCCAAATGACATCACCAAGGTGGGACAGGAGGTTTACAGGGATGAAGGAACATCAGAGAACTCTTCAAGCATCAACAAGTGGGCTTAGTTTTGAAAAGTAAATCCCACTGACTGCTTGTTCAGCAATAAAGCAAGTAGTGCAATACAAAAATCTCAATGTATAAAAGTGCTACGATAGGAAGTTTTCTATAAATGTGACTTTAAAAAAAAATTTAAGTCCATCCCACTAAGATTAACAACCCCTCCCTGTTTTTCCACTTGGGATTCTAACTGGTTTGTTCTGAGGAAGATTACTCTAAACAGTGCGCCATTTGTCTGTAGAAACACCTGTAAAGTGTCAAGGCACTGATTTATTCATTCACCTATATACTTGATGAGTGAAATTAGTAAATCCTGCTACAACTCAAACCTGGTTAGATTTGCTTCAAATCATCTGAAGTGCTAACTGGCTAATCTCACTAAGTAGGTGATTTTTTAAGTCATTTTAATGCTGTTTTGACAAAAATTTAACTACAAATGGAAAGCCTAGGTATCAAAATACTAGCAACAGTTGGAGGATAACCAAATATAGTTGAAATCCATTTAATAAAAGAAAATATTACAATTATATTCACAATGTATGTGCTAGTAAATCTAATACACTTGTAAAATAGTAAGTGTATCATAATAAGTTTTAAAATGCTAATAGTTTTAAAGCACAGGATCGATCCCCATCCAAAATACAGTAAGTTTCCTTCTATTATTTAAGTACACATCTCCAGAAAAGGCCAAGTGGGGACTAAGTCAATCTAAAATAATTTGAAAGTGGCAAAAGGGCTTACAGTTACTGGGAACTACCTTAAGAACCATCATGAGGGCATTTTCTGGCTGAATTTGAGGTTACAATACAGCCTGGACTTTACAAAAATGAAGGTGTATCTTCTAAATAACAACTTAAAGTTCCAGAAAGCAGTGAGAATTCAGGCCCAGCTGCCTGAAAGTACTCGAAAGGAGGATGACTATGCCTATTTATAACAAGAGCTCCAAGTATTTTGACTCTCAGAATCAATTAGTGAACTTAACAGTCACAGTTCTCACCACAAGAGTGCGAAAAAAAGGAACCAAAAAGGTTCTCCATCTCTCATTCCCTCCTGAGCAATCATGGAACAGAAACAAAGAAAGTGAGGAAAACCTAGCTTGAAGACAGGAAGAGGACCTGAGATTAAAGAGAAAAGGACTACAGCAATTCTTCATGCCACTGCTAAGTAGAGGTGAAAGCTGTTCATTCAGCACGCCTGAACCTAACTCCCACCTGATGTGAAGGGTCTACTCATCTGACCGCATCACACTGCCTCTAGTGACGGAGGACAACATGAACCAACCAAAAGGCATGAAGTGACTACTCCATGAGCAAGCACCATTAAAAATAAAGAAATCAGAACTACAACCACTACCGCCCCCAGGTACTCACTGATCTGTGAAAATAGAACTGACAGATTTCAACCGAATAAGGGCTGCCAGCCTCAAGTTTTCTGATAACTTGAAGTTCCTTAAAAAAATAAAATAAAAGCAGCTTCTCTAATCTCACGTTTCTTCAATCACCAATTTATTTTTTTAAGCAAGTTCCTCAGATCCTAGGTAAGTCCTTCAAGCTGCTCACACCATTCCCTGAAAAGTGTTTTTTTTTTTAAAGACACCATTACTGATAGGAAAGCCAGTGAGTTCCGCACACTGCGAAAGGCAAGTCAGTCTCTGAAGTGAGAAGCTATCAAAGATGCAGCGAATGAAGACAGAGAGCCATCACTAGGTGGCTTAGGGCACCAAGGAGGTATGCAGAGCACGCCAATGCTGCCCAGTCTGGGTTAGGAAGGGCAGAACACTAACAGCGCAGATAGAGGCCAACCCCTACCCATCGCCCAAAAGACTGAAAAGAAAAAAAAAAGCAAGATTGAGTGACAAAAAAACAGCGTGGATTTTGCAATTAACGCTAACGAGGAGCTGGGTACCCAATCATCAGCAAAGAAGACAAAACAAGGAGATGAAAAGGACCAGCTCATCCCCAGACAACGGGTCAGCCTGTTGATGGATCAGCCTGAGCTATGAGAAAATAGGTTTCCACCCTGGTCAACAGCCTCTGCTCATCGCCCAGCTCAGCACCAGCCAGGTCACCCCGTCTAGGGACGATGGCTGTGGTCCGCCTGTCCCCACCCCCCCAACCGCCGTCTCCCGCCCAGCCCTCGCCCTCCCCGGGGGTCGCAGCGGAGCTCGGCAATACCAGGTGTAGTCGTCCTCGTCCCGCCAGGCTGCCAAGCTCTCCAGGTCCAGCGGCTCCACCTCGTCCAGCAGCGTGGGGGGCGGCGAGGGGGGCGCGGCGGCGGCCCCCGGCGGTGTCCCCGCGCCCCCGGGCTCCGGGCCGCCGCCGCCGCCGCCCGCGCCGAAGAAGCCCGCCGCAGGCTTGAAGTAGACGAAGGGCGCCTCGGGGGGCTGCGCCAGGCTGCAGAGCAGGGAGGGCGCCGGGCTGGGCAGGCAGTAGGTCCCCGGGAAAGCGGGGCTGGAGCCGCCGCTGCCGCCGCCGCCCCCCGCGGCCAAGGCCAGCCCTAGCCCCAGGCCCCCCGAGGCGGCGGCGGCGGCCGGAGGGCTCCGCGGGGCCAAGGGGCTACAGGCCCCGGCCGGCGGCGGCGCGGCGGGCGGCGGCGGCGGCGACAGGAGCAGCAGGTGCGGGGCGGAGGACGCGGTGGCCGTCTGGCTCCGCAGTTGCTCGTTCTGCTTCTCCAACATTCGCACCAGCTCCTTCAGCTTCTTCACCTCCAGCTCGGTGTTCACCACCTGCCCGGAGCCCGCTCCGGAGCCGCCCCCCGCCGAAGCGCATTTCACCTGCTCCGCCATCATCTTGGGCCCAGAGGGCGCCTCGGCCGCCCGGCGAGGGGGAGGAGGCGTGCCGAAGCGCCGGCTCCTGGCGCCACAGGGAGCTGCTACGGCCCCTTCCCTTACCGCCCCGGCCCAGACGGCAGACCACGCTAGGCGGAGGCCGAGCGGGCGACTCGCATCAGCACCCGGGCCCAGCCTCCGGCCGAGGCAGCTGCCGCCGAGCCGCTCTGCACATGCTCAGAGCGTCCCTCCAGTCCCCTGGGCGCCGTGGAGGCTCCGGGTTTTAGCCGCGGCCCCCGGGCGGGGCGGGGCGCGGGCTGCGGGTGGGCGGGGCCGGGGTGTAGCACCAGCCTTTGAGGTGGGGGCCCGAGGCGCTCGCGAGGGGCGGGGCGCGGGCCCGGGTCCTTGGGCCCCCGCCCCCGCCCCCGCCCACGCTACCCAATCCCAGGTGCCTGATTGGACCCGGCCTGCACTTTCCCGCCACCGGCACTTCCTCCAGCCGCGGCCGGGGAGCTAACTGCGCCAACTTGGGAGCCAGGGGCGGGGTTCCAAAAAAGCGGGCGCTGCAGGTGCCTGCCTTGGCGGGGTCCAGCGAATGCCGGCAGGTTTGCTATTTTGCAAGAGCGCTTGTGCTGAACGACAGCATCTACTAGCCACTAGATGGTTAAACCAATAGAAATCCAAAAGGCCAGGGAACGTTGAGTACCAAAAAGTAAAAACGTGGAGCGGAAAGGCTTTGAGATGATGCTGTTAACCCCTAATTGGTAATGCAAAAACAGAATGGTGAGAGAGCGAACAGTCCAGAAGAAAGAAAATCGCCCTCTCACTAAGAGGGGGAGAGTGACCAGATGGTAAAGAGCCAACTGTTAAGCTTATTCTAAAGTCGTCCGATTTGAACTGTTCTACTACCACCAATGTTTAACACGAAAAAGAGTATTTTTATACCATGTATATATTCATACATTCATTAAACAAAAGATCTTTGAGCTCCTAACTCTGCGCCAGATACCGTTCTAAGAGTTGGCCAAGCATTCAAGTGAAAAAACACAAAAAATCATTGTGGGAGAAACATGAGTAAAATTGAATGATGTTCCATCTGTTAAATAATTTACAAGCTCTTAGGTCAGACTTGCTGGGGTGGGGGTGGGGAAGGAAAGCAGAAAATCTAGGAACTCTGACCCCGTACCCCTGTCTCTCCTGCGAACTGCCTTTTCTTCTATCTTCCGGAAATTATTGATAGATCTGCTTTTAAACGGGGTTGGGGGAGGGTTCTTAAGCAGAAGAATTGAGTCAAGTTTCATTCCATTGATATTGACGTGGCATTTGGGGGTGTTTAACGCGGAGAAAAGTCTGAGGGCTTTATTATAAGATACTTCCATACAACTGGCTCTCATCCTCAGATGATACATTATCTAGTGAAGCTCTGGGACTTTTCCATACCAGTCTGTGTGTCCATGTACCACATCCCTCTGGAACTGCTCCCATATTGTATCTGTTGGTTTTATGACAGATACAGTTCTGTGCCTTCCTGCTCAGAAACACTTGTGTCTTGTCTGTTGCCCATTTATATCTCCAACTTCTGTGTGTAGGGAGGGTGATCTCCATTTCACTTGCTTGGTGAGATCTTCCGTAAATCAGATAAATATGTGTAATAGGTTCCCTGAGTCTTCCTACCAAGCGTCCCAGCTTGCTAGACCACCGGAACCACCTGTATCACCCATCACCTTTCCAAGTTTCAGTCTAGCTTCTAGATATTTTGGTTATTACTAAAACCTGGAGAAGTGGAGTGATTCTACTGAAAGTCCTAAAGTAAAGAATCTATGGAAGGATTTTCCGCATGCTCAGTGGCAGATGCAGAGAGCAGTATCCTTGCAACACAAAGAAAGGAAGACAACAGATACAATGAGAACAAAGAACCGCTGGGTTCCACGTTAGCAAAAGAAATTGGGAATAGGCGCAAAAGAGCGAAGACACTGAGAATTAAGACATGAAGAAAAGGAGTCATTTTTCTGCAAAATTTATATACTCTGGAGAAGGAGAGGAAAAAAATCCCGCTCCTCCCCCATATACTCAGTAAAGTGTAGAGAATACATCCAAGCCATCAGTAGTCAAGCCCGAGAACTGTTTTCTAAGTAGCAATTAGTATTTTAAAAATTCTTTGTTGTTTCCAAAGAGACCATTCCTTGAAATTCAGACATCGCAAAGAGATGAAATGTTCCCATCCTAAATTTCTATTCTGCATTCTTCTTCCAAAAAGGAAAATTTGCCCTCTTCCTGTTTTTAAAGTGTGAAGAAATTCAGGTCTAGAGAAATTTTAAATCATCTCTTTCTTTTCTATGAAAGCACCTCTTTTTTTTCCCTTTTGGGATTACATATGTACACACACCAGAAACACTCAAAATGCACCCTGATTTTAAGTTGCTTGTCTCCAGGATGCCTGTCTCTTTAACACATAATTAAAGAGGTTGATGGTGTCAAGGTTTCAATTAAGCAGTCTTGATTTTTTTATTTTGATGCAAATTTGTAAGCTCTGTGTGTTGAAAGAAATTGCATGCCTAGCTTCTCAATTTTAAAATATTTTTGTTTTAAATGAAATACATGGGGTGATTGCAGAGATTTACAAACAAGCTATGGAAAATAAAGGCGCATATCTCATTAAAAACTTTATACTTTAAGGATACATTTGAAACACCATGAATTGATGAGAATTATCCATCTATCACACATTCAAAATCAGATAAAGAAGCAGGTATTTCACCAGTGCTCCCCATTCCTTACACTCCAGAACTGTGGTCACTGGGTCACTCTCGTGAGATTCAAAAGAGAAAATAACTTATTTTGAGTTGTATTTTTCACATATACCTGTAATAGTATCTATGGACATCAAATTGATTCAGCCACAAAATTGCAAAGAGAGCGTTGTTTCTTCCTGAGTCCGTAAATCTGATTCTCCCAAGTAAATCTAGGAACAGTCCATTATCCTAGTTTCACAGGTAGGTTAACAAAGTTAGATTACTTGCCCAATTCAGTCTTAAAAACGACAACAATTCTTGGCACAGTTTCTAGTGACCCAGCCACTGCTCTCTTTATGCCTTTGTCTTAGAGTGAAATTACACTAAGAGTAAGCTCTTTACGTTTTAAATGCAGATTTTCCATCAGTGCAATGGATATACCCTAACATGACCACTACATTCATTCAACTTGATAAATCCAAATATCACAAGGTGAGAAAATCACCTGATACGTTACCAAAGGTTGTGTGCTCAATCATGTCCAATTCTTTGTGACCCGGTGGACTGTAGCCTGCCAGGTTTCTCTCTCCATGGAATTTTCCAGGCAAGAATACTGGAGTGGGTTCCCATGCCCTCCACCAGGGGATCTTCCCAACTCAGGAATCGAACCTGTGTCTCTTGTATCTCCTGCATTAACAGGCGAATTCTTTTACTGCTGTGCCACCTGAGAAAATCAGCTGAAGATTAAAGATCCCCAGCTCCATTTTCAAGTTCATTTAGAGGGACCACAGTCTGATTTTTTTTTCCCCCTCTTAATTGAGATTCCTGTTTATCCATGTAAAATATTCTTGAATAATGTGGGTCCCCACTACCCTTGTCCAGTGCCTAGTAAGCCTAGCACTTAGCAAAAACACATTGAAATGTCTTTTTAAAGACTAGATGAATAAATAAATAAATCCCCAAGTTCTAGCTGAAATTGAGACAAGACCCTAATTGGTTACTTCTATAAGCCTCATTTGTCATATGGTAACAGCATGGGAGGATTAGAAGGCTTTTTGCAGACTCCATAATAATTATTTCACATCTGACCCAATTAAAAGCTAGAAATATGCTTGCTGCATTAATGTGTGGATTTTAGAGTAAGGGAATAACACAGAGAGAAAACAAAAAATATATGAAGCCAGAATTTATGTAAATGATTCTCTGTGTGGGTTGTTCCATTCAGACCCCACCCAACTCTACCACTAGAATTCACACCAACAACCCCGGTAATTATACCCTGTAAAGTCACATATAGTAGTAGTTACTATAACAATAATAGTAATGATAATAATTCTGTTGACTTGGCAAGGTATCCTTGTCAGACTCCTTTTTAATAAACACATCACGTATCTACTATGTTCCAGTCACGATGCTAGATAACCTTTTAAAAGTAAGACAGTGTCTCCACCACCAAGACCTTATCGAGTTGGTGAAAGAAGCATATAAACAATTGATTAAGACTTAGTGTGTTATATGTCATGATAAAAATACAAGTCAAAAGCTTAGGGAGTGCCTGAGAAGGAACAATTAATTTGGGCTAAAGTTTTGGGAAGACTTCATGTAGAAAGTATATGTTATTTCATTTGATTCTCCTTATCCAAGCTGTGAGGCATTGGGTAAGTGTGATAGTCATTTATCAGTCAGAATCTAGGATATATCAAAGCAACAACAGAAGTAGGATATAGCATAGAGCTCTCTAACTCCTGGTCAATATCTTTTCCTCTGTGGTCAATTTGTTTTGTTTTTATGAATCACTCACACATCTACCATGCCCACTAAAATGAAACTTTAAATATTTACCTTAACAGTAGCTAGTGGTCTTACTGAATGCCACATGTTCTAAGCCCTTTACTTGTACTAACTCATTTAATCATCAAACACCCTTTGAAGTACTTTCTATAATTAGTCTTGTTTTATAAATGAGGAAACTGAGGCACAGGAAGTCAAACAAGTTACCCAAATTTGTGTACTCAGTCGCTCAGTCAACCCCATGGACTGTAGCCCACCAGGCTTCTCTGTCCATGGGATTTTTCAGGCAAGAATACAGGAGTGGGTTGCCATTTCCTCCTCCAGGGCATCTTCCTGACCCAGGGATTGAACGCTTGTCTCCTGTGTCTCCTGCATCAGTAGGCAGATTGTTTAGCACTAAGGCACCTGGGAAGCCCCTTCCCAAAGTTACCCAGCCACAAAGTGGCAGAGCCAGGAATTGAAAGCTAAGCAGTCCCAGCTTGTTAATTGCAGTATGTC